AAGTTGAATTTCATACAAACAAAAATAATTTAGCCAAAGTTATGTTTGAAATGTCATCCCCCCTGCTTTTTTAGAAATTCAAATAAAACTGGGTGTCGTACAATTTTACGTATTAAATCTGGCAATTTTAAATTCTAATGTGGCACATTTGCAGATTAGATTGCCTGGTCCGCTCTTGAATGTGACTCTTTATTGTTAAGGCATATTTTCTGGGTTTTTTCCTCTTAGGTCTCCCCACTTTCTTTCTTATATAAGTAAGTTAGAAATATATTAAGAGGAATAACATTTTCTCCTTCATCATTATTTCAGTGTGTTTCCACCAATGTGTTTAGAGGAGTCTGAGCAATGCTTCTGTCTAATACAATGTGAATAAATAGCTTACACAACTTAGGTACCGTGTGCTTTTATCTAATACAATGTGAATAAATAGCTTATGTAACTTTAGAGCAGTATGCTAACAAATGTGTTTGTTAGTGTTTTAACATAAAGCAGTTCCTAATTAGATTTGGCAGCAAAATAAGAGGTTGTTGCTGGATGTGGTGGCATGGGACTTTAACCACAGCACTTGGGAGGCAGAAGCAGATGGATCTGTGAGTTTCAAGCTAGCTGGTTAAGAGTTCCAGGTCAGCCAGGGATGCATAGTGAGACCTTGTATCTAAGATAAGAAGTTGTACATCTAGAGAATAGAATCTAGTCAACTTAATTCCAGGATTGTGTTGATAAATGAAAAGAAATATCAGACAGCAGAGGACACTGGCTTTGAGATGGAGTTGACTTCCACAAACCCTCAGTGAGATTCTCTGGAGTGGAGTCCTCCCCCCTTCTGCCAGTTGATCAAGAAATTGTCTGATTAGGGGGCAACATCCCTGATCCAGGAGTCTCTAAAAAATATCAGTTTTTAGAACATTGAATTCAAGCTATAAGACATGCAGACAAATTACTGGACCCTAGTCATGGTGACAGCAAAGCTTAGCAAAAATATCAAAGATTTTCTACAGCTGTGACACTGGTAGAGCTCTGGTCTCTGCTGTATGTTTCAAGTTGGTTTTGTTGTTGTTGTTTTCATCTCATCTTACACTGGGGAAACAAGTCTAGAATTTTTAAAAAGTATCTTTTGCTCATGTCCCGCTTATAACTGGTTTCATAAATGAGGAGATATTTGATGTCAGTTTCATCTAATTTTGATTCTCATTTGATCAAATATTCCAGTTTTGTTACAGGACATGGAGCAATGTATTGGCTGAATACTTGTTTTCCCTTTCTGGAGCTTTCAGTCTAGAAAGGCAAACAGACATGACACAGAAATTAAGGCTTAGAGGTAACAGTTTCATTCAGAATCAGAACATGTATCCACTGTGCACTTGTTCCATAGATGGTGATGGTACTCTTCTCTCTCTCTCTCTCTCTCTCTCTCTCTCTCTCTCTCTCTCTCTCTCTGTTTTTTGAGATAGGAATTTTTCTGAATACCCCCGGCTGCCGTGGAGCTATCGCTGTAGACCAGGCTAGCCTCTAATTTACAGAGATCCACCTGCCTCTGCCTCCCTGCTGCTGGGATTAAAGGTGTGCGCCACCACCTCCCGGCTGATTGTATTCTTCTACACCTTGGAACATCAATAAGGAAAACAAGGATCCTCCCCTCTGTCTGTTCTCAGAGGCTATGACACTAAGTAACAAATGCAGAAACACGCAAATACCTGCTGTAGATTTAGAAAGTAGTAAATGCTATAGAAAAAAGATGAAAAATAGTTAAGAGGACAATTGCCCCAAATAGCTTAGGGGACAGAGAAATACTAGGTTTAAGGCACTGAAACATCCTTAGAACTAAAATGTCAGCCACACAGGGGCTCCAGGTAAATGGTAAAGGTAGGAGGTTGAGTTCTTAATGGCCCTGGGGGGTGGGAGGTTGAACTTGTAAGATGATCTGAAGTCACCTTGGTGTTTTAAACTACAGACTGGTGTGATGGTTTTTTGTATTTTTGATTTCTCATTCTGCCTGTGACTAGGAAAACCTATCAAAAGCAAAGAGAAGTGGATGGGAGAGGAGAATGATGGGGTACTTGTCCTAATCCAAGTGTGGTGATGGTGCCTGAGACCGGCATGTTTCCTGAACTAGAAGTGATAGCTGAGAAAAGATGGCAACTCTAGCCTTAGCTTTCCACTGTCTTACATTGAGAATAAGTCAGCGCCTACCCAACTTTTCTTTGACCTCTCATTCTGTATAAAACCTATTTGAAATAGTCACATTTTTCTACTTTGTTAACTTCCCAGTTTGTGTCTTATCTTTTGAGTAAAGAGCAGAGTATGTGTTGTTTAGGGAGCAGGGGACATCCATTGTCTTCACTTGGATCTGTTTCTATGCAGGCACATGTTGCTCTGAGATGGTCCACCTGGCAGATAACACATACTAGCACTATCATCTCCCCAAATCCCTGTCCTCTCTCCTCTCCTAGTAAGATGAAGTAGATGATAGAGGAGGTGACCGTATCTCCCTTTGCCACTCTATTAAACATGTTAGAGCTTATGCACTGGAAAGGAGTGGACTGTCTGTCCTTCATTATATGTGATATGCCCAAATAGTGGGATAAGACAGATGTCTTGCTTCACTGTTGCACAAGCAAGCCAGTTTCACAGGTCTATACAGGTTTAGATATGTATAATGGATATGCTGCTCCACCAAGCAACTTGGTGCCCATGTCCGCTGTGTTTTGTTCAGCCGAGGCCCTTTCAGTTCTCAAGATCTAGATGGAAATTGCACCCAGCCTTTAACTCCGTCACTGCAGTTCTGGTCTGAAATGAACTAACAAAGAAAGGCCAAAAATTTCAATTTTCATCTCATCAACAAGTCCTGCTTGGACAATTGAGAGAGGGAGAGAGGAGCACCAAGGGCCAACCTAGGTGATGCTTAGGCCTGGCTCCCTGTTGATAGATCTCCTGTTCCTCATCTGTGAGAAATCCATCCTGCTTAAGGAAGCTGGAGGTTTGGGGATTGAAACTAAACAGCAGTTCTTGAATGCCTTCCATTGCAATGTCTTGTTATAGAAATATGTGTCTTGACCGGAGGTTTCCATCTTACACTATTTTGTGTCTTGGAGTCTCTTTCCTCATGAATTACTTTGCATCTTGCTTGAAGTGAAATCATTTTAAAATTTATATCCTGTCCTACTTTTATTTCGAGATTCTACTTAAAATATCTTTACTTCCCTCTTTGCTGGCTCAGAGATGCATGAACATTTTATGCCTTTCACACCCTTTAAGATGAAGAAAATAATAGGCTAATCTGAATAGTGGTAAATGAGAGTAGAATAGAGATTTTATTCTCAGGAGAATGGACAATGATATATTTTCCTGTGGCTATCGGCCATCACCGTAGTTAATTCAATCAGGCAGAAGCTGAATGAACATTTGATAAAACTCTGTTATATAATTTTGCTATTTGATGGAGCCTCTCAGAGTGGTCCCGTGCTCTGTGACATCAGGTCACTTGCTTTTAACTCTTTTTTTTTTTTAAATCTATTTCTTCATTCAGTGAGTTAAACATAAATATATCAGCTACTTAACACTGGCCTAGAAGCACTGAATTGAAATTAAGAACAAAGACATGATACATCTAACATGGTTATGTTTGATTTTACTAAAAGTCACATCAGAGGTGGCCCGAGAATTGACTGGAAATTGAGTGCTGAGATGTGTCCAAGTAAAATCCAAGGAAGAAGGTGCTGGTACACAAGCTGACAATTTGGCAAGGGTTTCCCTGTTTGAGAAGGTACTTCACAGAAGGCTAACCCCTGGGTCTTTCTGAGTTAGTAGATCTGGCTTGGAAATGGAAAAGATACATCACTAAGCATCTCTTTCCTGCTACTGATTCAAACTCCCAAATCAGACTGTGGAGGGCTGGTTCAGCCCAGGGGATCTGAGCAGGCTGCTTACTCTGTGATCTGCACAGGCAAGGGGTGGTTTTTAGAGAATTCTGAGAGCAGTTCTGAGATCATGTAACTGAGTGGTTTTTAAACTTGTTCCCTCTTGATCTACCAGACTGACAACTGTGTGTGGCAGGGAGAACTTAGATGAGAGTTCCAATGTCTAGAATCAACTTGCAATATTGTGGGCTACGGTAACTTAATTTCTCAAAGGGAGATTGTGCTGAAATACCTGAGCTAATTTACTTACTAAAATATAATTATATTGAGAAGAAAGTTGGTATCATTTAGGTGGTTGTCAAAGTAAAACAGAAATGATGAGGGCTGAGCAGGCATCCAGGGAAGAGAAAATTCATTCATGCAAAACAAATGGCTGAGAAGGAAACACGTCCACTGGTCACTCCCTGATTCCATTCAGTTAGCACAATCCCCAGACTCATAGTCTCAGGAAATTTCTGGAAAGGTAGCAACAGCTTCAACAACCAGGTAGCATGGGGACAAAGTTCATCTTGTAGCAGCATTAAAATGGAAACCACCTAAAATTCAGAACTGATTTCATATGCTTCATTATGCTTTGCTAACTAGGTTCCTTGAATTTGAAATTTTCTAAATATAAAAATTTTACATCCTACTTTCAGTGTTTCTTCTAGATGAATTTTGCAAGGCACAGTAATCATTTCAGACTTTGGGGGCATTGCCATGTGTTTGTTTTTTGTTTGTTTGTTGTTGTTGTTGTTTTTTAAGCAGAATTTCAGTGTTAAGCAGAATTAAGCAGGATTCAAGTGGCTTTTCCTATTTTGCCAACAAAAGACTAATGGTACTGCATTAAGCCTAACTATTTCTTAAAGACATTAGAAAACCATGAAAGTGCTGGGCTAACCGAAGTGTCGGGGACACCTATTAATTTTCAACCTCTTTTTGTTAAGTTCAAATAGAAAACTAAACTTGGTTTGTGATACTTTCAAGGGACAGCTCCCGCTCAGCCCATGTATTAAAGTCAAATGAAAATGTCAGGAAACATTGGCTACACTGTCAACGGTCAAATTGCAATAGTCAGACTTCAATGCTTGGTTGCTCATTCCTGCTCCAGGTACATGCGACAACGCTGCAGCTATGAGTGGAATTTTAAAGAGGAAGTTTGAAGATGTGGATGCCTCCTCACCCTGCTCCTCTGCTCGGGAATCAGACGATGAAGTCTCCAGCAGTGAGAGCGCTGACAGCGGGGATAGTGTCAATCCATCCACCTCTAATCACTTCACCCGTGAGTACTGGAACCAATCAGGTTCTGCTGAGGGTGGTGGGGGTGGGGGTGGGAATCATTGTATAGTGCTGGTCATTTTTATTTTTACCTTTATGGCTAGACATGTGTTTTTAAATAGATCAAGGGAAAATGAGATAGTTTTGAGACATCTTGGTAGATTCCATTATTTGAGTAGAATTGGCCATGTTTTATTTGGTCCTTTTGGCCCATTTTGTTGACAAAAGTAGGCATTTCATTCCTGCAACTCTTCAAGGAAACATGTAGTACACCTGGCACAGATGAGAAATATGGAGTTAAGGAATAAACTGAAGCTAGGAAAACAGCGCAATCTTCCCATAACTGAGATGGTCTGGGATGAAATGAAAGGCTACATGTTGCATTTGCTAATGGAAAGTGTTGGCAGTGATAAGAAACAGTTTGATGGGCCACACACTGAAGTGTGAAAATCTTCAAGCTCTCAGTTAAGGAATAAACTGAAGCTAGGAAAACAGCGCAATCTTCCCATAACTGAGATGGTCTGGGATGAAATGAAAGGCTACATGTTGCATTTGCTAATGGAAAGTGTTGGCAGTGATAAGAAACAGTTTGATGGGCCACACACTGAAGTGTGAAAATCTTCAAGCTCTCCTCAGCTGCAGCCCCTTCCCAGGTATTTCTTCTCTCTTCCCTGGGAGTTACAAAGTCCACCAAGGTGAAAATAAGCATGTATGCCGTGTCTTCTATTCCCTTCTCTGCTACCCTGTCACATTAGCCATTTCTGCCAGGTACAGTAATGTGATGTTCAAAGAAGGGGTGGGAAAAATTGTTTAGATCTTGTAACCTAAGCACAAGAGACTGACATGGAATAGCTTCATGTTTCTAAAACAAGGAGACTTGAGTGTCACAATACCATGATAGATAGCTGGGCTTTTGTAGAATTATTATTTGAGATTATAATATAATTACATCATTCCCCCTTCCGGTCCCTTCCTCCAAACCCTCCCAAGAACTCCGCCTTGCTCTCTTTCAAATGCATATGGCCTCTTGTTTTGTGAGGCTGGGCCTTTTGATTACTATGTTTTTTTATGACTGGCTTTGTGCATGGTGAGGGAGTAAAGGGTATAATGAAGTGGTGGTCAGAGAACAGCTGTGGGAGTTGGTTCTCACCTTCTACCATGTGGGTTCCTGGGAAATTCATTTTCCCATGCTTGTCACAATGCACCTTTACCCACTAAGTCATCTTGCCAGCCTTGTTTGTTTTATTAGCTGATTTTTATTAATATATGAATCTCAAACCTCTCCTTTTTTGGGGAACTCTGAAGACCACCTTTAGGAAAAACAAAAAAAAAACAAAAAACAAAAAACAAATGATTCAAACTTTGAAAAGGACATACTGAAGAACTCAATGAACATGGAGCCTGAGGTGCACATACTGCTATAATCAGTGGTTTTCCTCTGAGCGATCTGAAATAAATGGAAAGTAAGAAAGATGATTACGACTGTGACAGTGGAAAAGTGACAGAATAGGAAGACAGTGCTACTGTGATGTGTACCGTAACTTAGCACGATTTGTGCATATCATGATGATATGAGGTGAGCTTGTGCTTGGTCTGAAAGATGTAGGTTGACCTTTTTGGTTTTATACTAGTGATGAGGACAGCATCAGCAGCACCAGCATCAGCAGCACAAGGAGGTGAGCTGCATGAAGGGGCTCTGTAAAATGTCCGTAGAGTGCACGTGCTGTGACAGGGATTCTGAAATTACCCAACTTACTAGAAACATGGTGACTGTACTAGTGATGGGGGCAAAGAGAGTCTAAGATTGTGAATTACAAAAGATTTAATAAAGATGCATATTATATCTTCATATATAACGATATATAAAGTCATATATGCCCTCTGGGTTGATTTATAATAGCAGAGTTCAAGTCCAGAAAAACTCTCAAGTAGGCCATGTCAGGAGCTGAAATGAGCCAGGCGGTGGTAACATACACCTTTAATCCCAGCACATGGGAGGCAGAGGCAGTCGGATCTCTGAGTTGGAGGCCAGCCTTGTCTGCAGAGTGAGTCACAGGATTACCAAGACAGAGAAAATCTGCCTCAAAAAACAAACAAAACAAAAAGAGGTGAAATTCTACATACATAAGATATTTTTTTTAAAAAACGAAGCATAGCCCAGTATCAGTAATGTGGCAGAAACCAGAAGCATTGAACCAGACCAATGACTCATTGTCATGAACACTTACAAGTAATAACAAGACCTAATGTTGAAAGCCCATTCTAGATATCAACTTATCATTCATGACAATATAGTTGGGTGTTTTTTCCTATGATGTTTTACCTCAGAAAGTATAGAAAATCCTGGCCTTGTATATGCAAGAAATTAATGTAAAGAAAATAGGTGTTATCAAATGCCAAAGGGGAGGATTTTCATAAGCATTCATACAATTAACTATTTTTAAAATGAAGCAATTTAAACTCTCTTCTCATGGCATAATAAAGTACATTCCATAGTGATGAAATTAAAAAATAATGAAATAATGAATTTGGCAGGATTGCTGTGTGCTTTGAAGGAATAGGAAAAATTTCACATTCCAACACATTTAATGTATTTAATGATATTGAAATATCAGACATATCTGCTATAAAATATTGAAGTAAAAAGAAACAGTTTATATTAGAAATATGTATTTAATGAGGTATAAGATTATTCTCTAGCATATGGAAGCACATGTGTAAATATATTTTTGAGACAGATCTAAAGTATTTAAGGCTAGCCTACAATTTTGCTATGTTGCAGAAGAAAATGACCTTGAACTCCTGATCCTCTTTCTTTTACTTTCCAAGTGCCATAATTGCAGGCCTGCTTCTCCATGCCCTGCCTATGCTGTGTTAGGGATTGAACCGAGAGCTTTGTGTATGCTAAGCAAGAACTCTACCAACGGTGATACACCCCTTGCCCTCACAAGAGACGCAAGCTAAGGCATGCCTCAGAGATAGTTCATAGTAGAAATAGCGATAATCTCATACAATAAAGCATTTAACAATCATAGTAATAAAAACTTAGATTAAAATAATATGTATATTTTATTAATATGAAATCATAAAGATTTCACCACTATGAAGTTAGTATTCGTCCCTCTAATAGAAAATGCTAACAGCAAAATGCTAGCAGAAGCCGCAGTGTGCATTCTAGGTGTACATGTTGCTGTTAATGCCCAAAATTCAGGAAGTGCTTTTTCAGTATAAGGCCCATCCAAATATTCCTGAGTCTGCATTCAGAGAATGTATGTGAAGGGAGAAACACCAAAAGCAACAGAAAATTATGCAAGTGGAAATGTTGGTGTTTAATTGTAGCAAGAGAAAACAGGGATGAGGAAGGATGGCCACATGTTCAAGAGTGGGAAAATGATTCATAGTAACCCATGACTGCATTCATTTTCATGAGAGTTAGGAAAAGTACAGGATAGGTAAAATGTTTATGAGACAATCGGAAGAAAAGCAGAAGACAGGCTCTTCTTTATATGGACAGGGAAAACCTGAGCATGCTCAGAAGCTAAGACTGCTTCCATGACTCGTAAATTGGAAACAATTTGATTTGTTGAAAGATTAGATTGGTGGGTGGGTTTTTGTATCCACTAATTTTTATTTCTGTTAGTGTTATATTGCATCCCGAGAGAGATGTTTCAAAGTTGCGCTGCAAAAAATGATCGATCAGTGTTTCTCACTTTTTATTGATGTATACAGAACAAAGGGAAGAAATTGCAAGAGGAAGAGAGAGAGAGAGAGAGAGAGAGAGAGAGAGAGAGAGAGTTGGCTTTTTGCCCAGTTCTTACATCTCAGACCCAGGGTCTCATACCTGTGCAGCACACATGTTATCTACTGAGCCAGCTCCCTATGTTGCCATCAGAGAACATACTCTATGATATCTAAGAAGCCCCTGAAATGTTTGAGCTCATTGTGTATTATCAGCTCTTAGGGAGAAGGGAGTGTCCCAGCTAGTTTACCAAAATGTCATTGTAACTGTGTACTAAATAGAATCTAGCAGCTTCTGATTATTTTAAAGATATTTTTCATTGTGTATGTATGCACATGCTTGTGTGTGTGTGTGTGTGTGTGTGTACCACTCATGTTCAAGTGCCTCGGAGGCCAGATAAGGGCTTTGATCACCTGAAGGTGGTTGTGAAGTGCCCCAGGTGGGTTCTCTGGAGGAACCGCCGATTCTCTTAACTACTAAGCCATTATTCATTCCAGCCTTACAAATTCTATTTTTTAAAGGCAATGCAATTATTAATTTGATTTTGGTGCTCTTTCCACATAGTAATCTGTTTTGCTTCCTGACTTCATATTATGGGGGTGAAGCGTGGGGGAGATGAGCTGAAGAAGTAACACAGAATCAAATGATAAAGCTTCTACCCAAAATACAAAAGATAAGAAGAGCATTTCAACCAATGTGAAAACAGTAGTTACAATTTTTGTTGCTTTCTTTTTAAATGTATTTTGTTGCTGGGTGTAGTGGAACACACTTTTCATCCAAGTACTTGGCTGGATCCTGGTGACTTTTAAGCCAGATTGGTCTATATAATAAGTTCCAGGCCAGCCAGAGCTACAGAGTCTCAAAGATAAAACATAATAGTAATTAAATTTATTTGCTACTCCAGAAATCAATATGTAGCATTTTAGAAAATACTTTCTTTACTATCTCAACTAGATTAGAGAAAAGTTTATTAGCAATATCTTCTTTATGGGAAACTATGATTATAATCTTATAATCCTTTGGAGACATACTAATGAAGCATATTTCCCTAACTTGCTTTCCTACCATCAAAAATGAAGACAGCATCCTGTCTTGAAATAAAGAAGGAATTTTTAGGACTGTTAAACCTGTGCAGCAATATGAAAGAGTTTGGATTCACACTGAGATTTTGAAAATGTTGTTATCCTTATTTAAATCTCAGTCACCATAGCTTTATCCTTCCATTTTAAACGAGTGGGTGGGCCCTGTGCTGTGTAGTCACTAGC